ATGCACCACCTAGCATAAATATATAACCGGCTGTGGATTTTCTATCCTCAACGTCACTACACCAACTTGAGTTGGTGTATGTCGCTAACTTGCATTATTTTCCTTCATCAACTGCAGAAAACAAAATGCCATAGTCGAGAGTTACTTTGAGATACCTTAGCATCCTCTTTATCGCTGCTAGGTGTGATACCTTAGGCTTATGCATGAATCTACTCACCTTATCTACATTGTATGCTAGACCAGGCCTTGTGTTACAAAGGTATCAAAGTGGTCTAATAAGTCTTTTGTACTATGTTAGATCAACATCATCTTCATCCGTGTCTTTCAACAGTTGCATTTTGGGCTCAGCTGGAGTCGAAATTGGGTTGTAATATTGCATCTCAAATCTCTTGGCGCATCATTAAACCTCTACCATTCTTTTATAATTAGATGCCAAGGAAATATGATAGATTTCTCAAGTCTGACATTTCAAACTCCTCACTTAGATCATATTTTAAATCTTCGATCTCCTTCTTGTAACTTCCTGTTATCAACAAGTCATCGACATAGAGACATAGTATAAGCCATTCATTATTGCATTTTCTTACATATACTACATGCTCAGTTGTGCACTTCACAAATTCCTTCTCTATTAGAAAGCTATCTATATTCTTATTCCATGCTCTTGGGGCTTGATTATGTCCATACAGGGCTTTATACAGCTTGTATACCTTGCTTTCTTTGCATTATTTCACAAACTAAACTGGTTGTGTAACATAAACTTCTTCATCTAATGGGCCATTCAGGACTGCGCATTTCACATCCATCTGACATATGTGTCAATTGTTAATGTTTACTAGACCAACAACGAACCTGATTGTTTCGATTCTAGCAACAGGTGCAAAAACTTCGTCGAATTCGATTCTTTCTTTCTAAAGAAATCCTTTCGCCACATGTTTTGCCTTGTGTCGAGTTACTTTTCCTTTGGGGTTCAACTTCACAAACCTGGTATACCCGCTTCATATTGATTTCCTTCTTATTTTGATGAAATTTGACAAGTGACCAAGTGTTGTTGACTTCAATGGGCTTCAGTTCCTCATTTATTGCTTTCACCCACTTTTAATCCTTCTATGCTTCAGGTGCATTGAATGGCTTGACATCTGCATAAAAGGCATAACGTACCAGCTCACCTCCATGATCGACCATATCATCTGATGTATTCACACATTCTTGCAACCTTGCAGGCATGTATCTTGTTCTTTGAGGTCTACTTGTGCTTGCTTGACCTTTGACTTCTTCCTGTCAAACTTCTCTTTTGACTTCACTTGCTGGGTTTTCACATAATATTCTCACTGAATCTTTCTTGACATTTTCAGTCCAATCCCATTCTTTAAGCTCATCTATGATCATATCCATGTTGATCACTACTTTCTTGCTCATTGGGTCGAATAACTTGTATCCTCCAGTCGAATGATATTCTATTAGGATCATTTGACTCGACTTGTCTTCAAGATTTCTTCTAAACTGATCTAGCACATGTGTATGTGCTATAGATCCAAATACCTTCAGATAACTCAAGCTAGGCTTGACACCAGTCCAACATTCTTCTGGCGTAATTCCTTCTAACTTTTTTGTTGGACATCTGTTCAGTATGTATGTTATAGTCGATACAACTTTTCCCCATAATTCTTTAGGTATATGCTTGCCTTTCAACATACTTCTCACCATATTCATGATGGTTCTATTCTTCCTTTCTGGAGTTTTATTTTGTTATAAAGTGTAGGGTGGCACCACCTCATGCACAATCCCTTCTTTCTTACATAATGTGTCAAAGTATTTTGACACATATTCTCCACCACCATCAGTCCTCAAAATCTTGAGCTTTTGACTATTTTGTCTTTCGATCATAGATTTAAACATGGAAAAAACCTCGATCACTTCACTTTTCTTCTTGATCAGGTAAGTCCATAATTTTCGACTGAAATCATCTTTGAAAGTGACAAAATATTTTTTACCTCCAATCGAACCTACCTAGATAGGTCCACACACATCAGAGTATATGACTTCTATAATTCCCTTCGACTTGCTTCCTGCATCCTTGCTGAAGTTGTTCTTGTGCTGCTTTTCCTGCACACATTCTTCACACACTTTATTTAGAATGTTGGTTTCTAGTAACCCTGAAACCATATTTCTTCTCTTTAGATCTCTGATGTCTTTGAAGTTGACATGGACAAGTCTATAGTGCCATATCCATTCATCTTTGCTAGTTGTAGTTGCAAGGCACTTGTGCTCCATCACATTAATTTCAATCCTAAAGGTTCTATTTTAAGACATAGAAGCCTTCAAGATTAACCTTCCTCTTGAGTCGAGAACTCTCATCATCTTGTCTTTGATCAACACCTTGTAGTTCTTTTCGACCAACATCCCTATGATGATAAAATTACTTTTTATGTCTGGTATGTACAATACATTGGAAATTACTAACCTCTTGCCATCTTTCATTATAATTAGAACATCACCAATACCTTCAGCTGCTAGAGTATTGTCATTTGTGAATTTCACCATGTTCTCCATTGAGAGTTTTATGTTCACAAACCAATCCTTCCTACCAGTCATGTGTGATGAGCATCTTGAGTCCAAGTATCATTTGTTTTGGAATATTTCTTCATCTCTTGTTGTGACCATCAACAACATTTCTTCTTCTTCATGCTTTGCATCGTTGTCTTGGTTCTTTTTTTTAGAACAATCACTATAGTAGTGATCATACTTTTGACAATTGAAATACTTAAGATGACTTTTGTCAGGTTTTTGACCACCACCTCTTCTTCTACCTACTGCACCACCTCTTTGGTTGCTTTGGTATGAGGCTTTCTCTGATTCGACCAACCACCTTCTTGCTGACTTCGACCAGTCGAATTGTTGTAGCCTCCTCTACCTTTATGGTCAAACCACTCCCCTTGCCTTTCTTTTCTCTTGTTGATTGCACCTACAAAGCCACATCACTCTTCGACTTTCTTGCTCTTTCAGTCATTCTTTGTTCATGAGATTCAAGCGTCTCTTGAAGCGCTTACTTTGTCAATGTTGACAAATTTTTCGACTATTCAATGGCTACTACCACGTGGTTGAATTTTGGATCCAATGACCTTAAGATCTTTGCAACAACTGAATGTCAACACTTCTTCACATACCTTGATTTGATTCACCAGTTTTGTAACTCTTGTGAAAAACTTTGTTCTGCTTTCACTTTTTTCCATATGAAGAAATTCATACGTTCTTTTGTGAGTTTGTAACCTCACCTCTTTTACCTTTTCTACCCCTCCAAACAATTTCTCCAAGATCTCACATGCTTCTTTCTATGATTCTACATCATTGACCTTTTTGAAATTATGTAGATCAACACATTGATGAATTATAAAAAGAGCTTTATAATTTCTTCTTCAATTTTTTGTATGTTGTTTTTTCTTGATCCGACGTGTTTTCTGCAAGTGTTGTTACTCCTTTCTTCATAAGATTCCAAAGATCTTAACAACAGAAAACTACTTTCATCTGTTTAGACCAACTCTCATAATTCTAACCCTTCCGAATTTGGAGACTCGCTGGAAAATGTCCATTCGGATGATTCATCGCCTTTGCCATCGTGTTTTTTTCCCACTAATCGTTTAGCTAGTGCTCTAGACAGATGCTGGAAATTCACCAAAACCTATGGAGAATTCTGCTACAATCTTGGTGAACAAGATTCAATAAACCGATCAAATTTCCTCTTGTTCTTCACTCTTCACTCGAGTGAATCAACCAAGCTTAGTTGCAAGATTGTATCACTGCACAATGGTGATGAAAACAAGAAGAAGAAAAAAGAAGTTTAAGGTTTTCACAAAATAGGGAAGATGAGGAATTTCTGCATAGTAATTCTCTACTCTCAAAACTGCAATTTTATTCAAGTGAATCACATTATAATAATAGAGGTTACTCCTTATTAATAGAGACCAAAAATACATAATTCTGTCAACAATACAAAATTAGGTTTAAGACAAAATTCTTGTCGAGTCTAACTCATCAACACTTTAACAACTAGGTGTTTTGACAAACACACTAGACTATTCTATAACTTTTTTATTTCTGTCGAACAACCTACTTCGACACAAAAAAAATTATAATTCAACATCATTTAATTACATAAACTTATTTCAAATAGTAAAACTTAATTAATCAATTAATAAAAAAACAAAATATTCAAAATATAAAATCATAATAAGATAACAAAATAACCCATGTTGGTCATATTGCCAGCATTTTAAGCATAGAGACTGTGTTCAAATCCCTTTTTCTAATTTTTGTATCATATTTTCTTAAAACTACAATTAAATAGCTATATATTTATATCAATAAAACGACATTAAAAATAGAATTAACCACATAGGCTAGTGGCAACTATATTAAGGGAATTAGGGTAGACACAACCACATAGTCTAATGACAACTACAATAGGTGAATCAGGGTAGGGACATAGGTTCTAGTCCCATAATTCATAATCATCTATTATTATTATTATTATTATTATTATTATTATTATTATTATTATTATTATTATTATTATTATTATTATTATTATTATTATTATTATTATTATTATTATTATTAAAGAAATACCAAAACTTTTCTTCTTTGAAAGTATATGGATTTGACCCATTAGCAAAACCACCCACCCTTGAAACATTGCCGCCAGAAAGTAGACCTCGTCTTTCTTCTAAAAAATTTCCTAATTGTTCTAGGGCAACTCAAAAGATATACTTAAAGCAATCACTTCAAATTATTTTAAAGCCTATAAGATAGACAACACATATATATAATTTTGAACATAAATTTAACTGATAAACTTATCAATTGACATACATGATAACATCACAACTGACATACACAATGACATTACAAGTACCGCACAACATGCGCAGTTTATTTATACAAGTTGGATCTATCACACATGACATAACATATTAACATGCATGATGATGAGAAGCTGAAAACTATTCATCTGCAGTTTGCTCAGAACTTGAAGTTCCACCCAACACAGAACGAAAAGACCATGAATGAACTTCATGTACTGAATATTCTGCTCCAGTGGAAGCAGAGAAACCAACCCTTACCCACTCAGGAACAACGTTCTTCAAATTCACAACATCACTATGGATAAAACTACGTAAATTAGGATAAGTTAAAGTAACAGTTAACGCATTAGTAGCAGCTTTAAAACTTATCACAACATTAGCCTTTGTACCATACTGCAAATTCCACGGCGCAGTACTTTTGGATATGATAGAGTTAACATCGATTCCAATATGCCTGTTAACCGGATCCCAGGCATTTCGGTAAGTGTCAAACTCGACAGCAACAGTTTGAATAGTTTGATCATAACCTTGGCTATTGAAAACTCCGAGAAAGCCACCATTACCTCCCGGCTTGGTGTCCATCGGTGCGATGAAGAAGGCTAATCCCTCGGCAACTGCAGGAGCACCTCCAATTGGTCTTATGACAAAAGTGAAGGAAGTTGTAAAATCAGCAACGTTGCCTGTTTTGTTATCCCAAATATGGATAGGTGCAGAATAGAGAACTCTGCCCACGGCGCGTCTTTCTGTATAAATCAGTGTCACCTTGTCGTGGAAGGTATAGGCACTGCCTTGGAAGATTAGGTTTGGTTGGTCTTCGACAAACTTGGAGAAGGAAAAGGAAGTGGTTTGAGTTGAGTTCACCTTGAAGAAAAAGATTGTTGCGAAGGAAATGGAAAGAACTGTTACATAGAATGAGATTTGGGTAGACATGTTGTTCTTAATTTACTTCAATCATATTGTTGATATTTATAGACTCATTCGAACCTATCTGGTGCCATGTGTGTGGCTTATGTTAGAACACGATAACAAAACTCATAAATGCTAAAAACATGATTTTTTAATGGGAAATAATATTATATAGATTTTCGCTATCACCATTAAAAACATGTTTCATTAACAGTCATTTTTTAATACAAATTTTCTATCTATAAATTTCTTAACTTGTGCTCTTGGGACATAAGTGAGCACTACTCTAGATTAAATAGTCCTTTCTTTATTAAAAATTATTGATGGGAAATGATAATATATATATTTTTCCGTTCTAAGTTATAAGAGCATCAATACTTATTATCCTCACTTTGATTTTTTAAATGGAGTCCATGTAATTTTTTATATTATATTCTACTTTAATATTTTTTAAACAACTCAACTATATTTTTTAAATATCCATACAATCCATCAAAAACTCTAAAATAGGTCCCACAAAATACCTTACATTTAATTAAGAAACGTTCTCTTGCAGAACAACGTTGGCAAATTAAATGACAGTTAAAATTTTCAAATATCCATCAATTTCTCATAAAAAGGCTTTGGTTTTCGTGAAGGAACGATGACATGACATTGATATTTATGCTCTAAGACATTTTAAATATTTCACACGAATTAAGAAATGTAATTATTATTTTATGAAAAAGTGAAATGATCTATGACTTTACAAAACTGTCATTTTTTTAATTATATAGAAAAACAGGTTTAAAAAATAGGTAGAAGAAATAGAAATAAATGATAAAAGGTATATTAAGAAAAAAGTCATAATGTTGTATTGGAATTTTAAAGTGACTCATAATTCGGGATAAATATTTTTTGCAAAGTTACTTAAAATTTGTTAGAGAGGTGGTAATAGATTAAGTAGTCTTTTCGTTCTTAGAAATTAAGTGTTTTTGTTTTTAATTCTTTTTTTTTATTTAATCATTTAATGTTAAATTCTTTTGTTTATAGTTTTTAAAGTCAAAATTCACACGAAAATTTGTAGATTTTTTTTTATTTTCTTGCGGATTTTAATTTTAGCGACTAAAACTCAAATGATTTTAACATTTAGAGATTAATATTTTTAAAAAAAAAAATTAGAGACTAAAACAAAAACACGACAATTTGTAGGAACAAAAAAGATTATATAAAAGTTTAATACCATTTTTAGTCCCTTACATATATATCTGAATCCATTTTGGTCCTCTTTCTTTTAAAACGTCAAAGATAGTCCCTTATGTTGTCAAACAGAATCAAACTAGTCCTTAATGTCAAATATTAATAAATGACGTTAATGAAAATGACGTGTCAGCTGAGGTGCATTGTCTTATTCATCACCTTCTTCTTCGTAGATGCTGAAACACTTTACCAGTTACCCCCAAATTGAAACCACGTGAATAGTTTCCCATTTCCCCCAAATTGAAACATAATTCGTGTACATTAGTGCATTAATCATGAGTTATGGGTGCGGTTCATCATCATCATCGAAAAACAGAAGTAATTTACAGGTATTTAACAGCTCTAATCTTCCATGGAAGTCTTTTTGTCGTTGTGGAGACAATGTTGTACTTTAAAGGGCAAGAACTGTGAACAATTATGAAAAAGTTTTTTGGGGTTGTCAACATTTTAAGGTGAGTGTTAGTTTGAATAATCTAAATTGAAATATTGTTGAAATGTCTATTTACTACATTGCAATTTTCTTTCTTAATCTCTACAGGGATATTGTAATGATAATTGTGAGTTCTTTGAATGGTTCTACGAAGAAGGTATAAATGAAGAGGAGTAAATCATAATGAAATAACAAAGTAAGATAGATGTGCTAACTTAAGAGATGAAGGAAGTCAAAAAAAAGGTTGAAGTATTCAGGCTCATTAATATGGAATCAGAAGATGTTTTGAAGAACACTGTCAAATAGAAAAAATTTGAAAGTTTATTTTCTATGTCGTGTTCTATAAAAATTGGAAGTTTATTTTGAAGAATACTAAAAATTTGAAAGTTTATTTTAGTATTCAAGTTATAAAAATTGGAAGTTTATATTCTATATTGTGTTCTTTTTGAATTAATAATTTCCTTCATTTTGTTTTGAGACACTTAAATTTATGTTCATGCCTTGCATTCTTTGAGTGAGATTGAGGTGTTGCTACTCTTCTAATAAACAAACATTTAAGCTAAGACTTTATATTTTATACGATTCACAAACGAATAAAATCTCGACGCCTGGGAGTTGAACCTGGAATCAAGCTTTGACGGAGCGGCGCACGCAACCTCGGTCATCTCGTCATAGGTAATTAGAGATCGTTGCCCATCACTCAGCGGTTTAGGAGTAGGAATCGTCTTTCGCTACCATGAGATGGAAGCGCTACAACGAAAGTGGTTCACATCACCTACGTAATTTCAGCAATTGCTTTTGACTAGTTAAGTTAAGGCTGCTTTACCTACCTTTCCTTAACAGTCGATTCACCTAAAATTTTAATTTAAAATGCTTATGTAAAATACATATGATCTTTTGATTTTTCATAATGACTAGTCACAGCTGAGTGAGATTGTAATTTTTTTATGAAAAATTATAGTTGAGAGGGTTTTTAATTTTTTTATAAAAAAATTATAGCTGAGAGGGCTTGTAATGTTTCTATGCAAAAACTGTAGTTGACAGAATTTGTAGTCATTTTTGTTCAAAAATTAAAGTCCGGAGAGTTTGTAATTTTTTTTCTTAAAAATTACAATTGTATGAGAAAGTTTATAATTTTATTTTTATAAAAAGATTAAAAGTTGAATAATAAAATTGTGAGTCATATTTTCTTTTTTTTAATAGTTGTTAAATTTAAAAATGGGAATACAACCAAGGTTCTACAACCAACCACTTTCGTATCCCAATCATTTGGATTCTCTTTCTGTTCCTTCTTCTGTTTTTTCAACTAACAAAGTGTTTCATTTCAGAAAAAAAGAATTTAAAATACCTTAGCTATTTTATCAAACATCATGATTGAACTTACATTTGTAACTGGTACTCACATTGAGGTAAAACTTTTTCTGATGATCACTATTTTTCTACCTGCTTAGCCTTTTGGAATGTCTCGTTAAAGAAAGTTGCTAGACAATATTTGAATTTCTTTTTCTCTAATAACATCTAAAATCCTTAATCATTCGAGTTGGGTTATTTTCATGATCATGGAGAAGATGAAGCAAAATGATCAATTTGAATATCTCGTGTACCAATCCATTTCACCTTCAATCGTAAGTGTTTAGAATATCTTGATCCTCTTCCATCTTCGAGTCTTATGAAGCATGTTGAATCTTTTTCTGAATCACCCTATGTATCCTCTAACTGCTTCATATATCATACTAGAATTTATTCCCTTAAGACATATCTAACGCATTTGGGTTCATGCTTGGTTATTTTAACAACATGATATAAAGAAACCTATTGTTAGGTCTTTAAAATTTACTCATTTAGCTTAGTGGATGCGAAGAATATGTAATTTTCAAAAAGAATGGTATTTGTATATCATGGGGCTTACTACCACTTGGTTTAACATAGCTGGTATTATGGGTCTTAAGCCTATAGGTGTTGAAGCGATAAAGCAGCAAGAAAAAATATTAAGTATTCAGTTTTGTCATCTCCACGGGAATCGGTGCGAGGGAAAGAATGTCATTCGACAATCTCTAAGTCTCTAAGCTTGGTTTTAATGGTTTGGAATAAAAATGCAAAAAGGAAAAAACGTTAAACAAGAAAATAAAGTACGGTAGAGAACTCGTTAGGAATGACATTCATTCACCTATCTAATACACAAATCTACCAATCAGTTGTACACAACCTAAATCACTCGTCAATACCCCAAGGTATCACTCATAACAAAGGTTACGTATAATGCAAAGTTGAGAGAACAACCGCATCGCCTCATCGATGATGTCGCACGCAACTCGATAATACAGAGCATTAAGAATTGATACCAACGGTGAATGTTAGATCTAAATCTATCTCTAGAGTTTAGAACCTAACAAATGTTCATCCTAGATCCAAATTTGAAGAGGATATGTCTGCCGCAACTCAAATCTAAACATAAAGCGAGTAAAACAAGGATAACACCGATAAAGATTTGTAAAATAGATCGAATACAACACCATGATCAATAAATATACATACTATCAAAGTAAACTTACATATAAACCCCAACTAATTAAAAATACATAGAGAAAAAGAAAGATGAAGAGGAATCTCTCGCCGTGTCCAGCAAAGTGACGCAAATCCAACTCCGGATCATCGCTATGCACCCTCCAATGTTGTTTCTAAGCTACTCTACTCACAAAATGTTTTTGATGAAGTTGGGGTAAAAAGTTATCAACAACATAACCTAAAAAATGCTGAAAAGTGACTTAAATAGGGGATGAAAAAGACGCAAATCGGGCTAAGCGCGCTATGAGGGCGCTTAGCGCCATCAGCAAAATCATACTTCTTATTTTCTTCATAAGTTCCGAACCGTAGCTCTGGTTGACGCCCGGTCGGAAGCGTTGGACAACTTATTCAATGCTTTATATGATAATGGAAAAATATCCTTGCTTGAACACCTACAAAAATGAGATAAATAAAAATTAGAAAAAAATTATATTTATTTACAACCGCGCTAAGCGCGATCTCACTTAAAATACACTTAAACCGCCTTAAATCGCGCTAAGCGCGATCCTGCCCGCGCTAAATGAGACCAAAGGTCATTAGCTACCGCCTCTTCATCATAAACGCGCTAAGCGCGAGTTGCCATCAAACGTTGGTCAAAACTGCATTTTGAAGCATCTGAAGGTGAGAAAATACTTAGAAGGGGGTTGAATAAGTATGAAGATAAAACTTATAAATAAAAACTCAAGTATTTTTATCCTGGTTCGTTGAACTCAACTACTTCAGTCCACCCTATCTAGAGTGATTTGCCTTTCTCAAACAAGGGCTTAATCCACTATTAATCAACTGATTA